CATTGGTTTACGCAAGTATGATCACATCTCAGAGTATCTTTTCCAAACTCAAGGGCTACCAATACGCCTTCGCCGGGAATCTCAATTCTTTTCTTTTATACAGTGTTCTTTTTCATCCTCACACACCCTCTTATCTCAAAAACGTTTTGAGTTCCTACACACCACACATTGCAGGGACCTGAGGTCATCGGAGAATTTAAAACTAAAATGCCAAACATTCCACCAGTTTTGCAGATAAATCTTACACTGTGCAAGCAGTAAGACTCTGGAAAACTTGCCTGAAACAATCCGACAAGCTAAAACTTTGCCTTTTTTTTTAAAAAAATATTAAAAGATTTTTATCTGTCCTATAAATACTGTTCTGTTTCCCCTATTTAATATATTATATATACAAATATGTATGGGTATATGTGTATGTATGTATGTGTATTTGTTTTATGTGTAATGTCCATAGATGTATATTGTGTATGAATGGTTTGTTTATGTTTGTAAATATTTTTAAATATTCACGTGATATGTGTTAGGGTGTAAGTATGTATACAAAGCAAAATTTGTTAAATCCTAAATCCATGAAAAGGGTTGTCTGGAAGAGATCGCTATGACCCGATAAGACCGCCGATTGTTACGTTTACCTATTTGTAACTCATCTTTTGTTTGTTTTTTTTTTCTATTAGTGTATACAATAAAGATATAATAAATAAATAATAAATAAAATAAGGCATCTAGAAATCTTCTGATATTCACCACTAGATGGCACTGCAAGCAAGTTACTTGATACTAGATAGCGCTGTCCTCCAGACACAACACAAGAACATCTCAATCCTATGGCGTAACAATACAAATATTTTGTGTCAGAAAGAAGACGCAAGTGAATAAAAATAATAATTATAGTTTAGAAAAACTAAAATAAAAACGCTTTAAAGTGTTCCAGTATAGGACAATACTGCTTAATTGGAACTGGAATTACGTTATAGAAAATGAAGTTTCGATGGCCTACACGTTGGTTTTGGCCAAGGCTTATAGTAATTTATTAAAATAAAAAATATTAAAATATCTTAACCTTTTATAACATAACTTCAATATTATTTTTCTGAAGAAACTTTATGCAATCTTAAATTTATAGCATTATATTTATTTATTTTAAGACAATACAAATATTAAAATAATGTAATCCTTCAATTATACGTACTAGCCCCGCAAATTGATATTGGACGGAACCCTTGTCACAATAAGCGCTGCGTGACATCATCCGTCGTACAAAAGTACAGTTAACAAAAAAATTGTAATTAAAAGTAAATAGACTAGAGTTATAGGTTTATTACATATTATTATAATAATTTTATAAATACATAATTACATACAGTGCAAAGTGTAAACTTAAGGAATTTCAAAGAACCGAGAATTTTTTATTAGGATGAATAAAAAAAATCTCACGAGTCCGGGATCCGCTTTTCTTTTCATCGATATTTTCCGTGAAGCGATTATCATATGACCTCCCCAACCATTACGGTACGGTACCCAAGTATTTCGGTTAGACTAGTTGAACTTTTTAGGGCTCCAACTACTTGTAACAACTGCTATAGATGGCATTTTCCGTGCTAATCGCTGTAGATTTATTCACGAATATAAATATTTGATTGAGCGGGAATCGAACCCGCGCCTCCTGTAGTACATCCGAATGTGACGCCCCTGGTGTTGCACACGTCCATAGGCCTCGGTAAGCACTTTCTATCAGGTGGGCTATGTGCTTGTCTGACACATTTCTATTAAAAAGCTATTTTAATGAACAACTAATAAAACAAAGGTATTTATGTAAAATCAATGTTTTTATTAATATGATATCTAAGATAATAATATGAGCTAGCCTAAGATTATTCGGCTAGTTCTTCAATTCTGCTCATATCTGAATCAGAATCAGTTTCAGAGTCAGTGTTGTCAGATTCACTGTCTGCCGTATTTATAATAAATAACTCGTCAGTTATTCGGTCTTTTCACCAGTACTCTTCTTCGAGTCTCTTGACATGGTTTATTTCTTTCTTCCGGTCATCTGGAGTTATGGACGACAGCACCTCCAAAGTCAGGGATTCTATCTTACTCTCCAATTGTTCAACATTTTTTTTTTGAAACTTTTTGTTTGACTAAGTTCCAAATATATTCAATGGGATTGAGGTCGCAGTTATACGGTGGCATCTTACTACTTCATGACCATTTTCAGGTAATAGTTGGTCGATTATATAACTTTTCGGTGGTTTGTGCTGTTTTATTAACTGTATAACTGTATGTATGTATAACTCTGGTTTTGTGCAATTATTTGAAAAGTCAATGTTATGAGCTTGCAGCCACTCAACCATCACTTGTTTTCTACAATTCATAGTTGGTGGTTTATTTTCTTCTTTGCTGTGGTACGGGGCGTTGTCCATCACAATGATGGAATTAGATGGTATGTTGGGTATAAGTTTTTCAGTGAGCCACTTGGTGAAATTCTCGGCATTCATCTTATCATGATAGTCCCCGGTTTTTGTATTAGCCTTAAACATCAAGAGTGCATTGTTATCAAAACCGGCTTCACTGCCCGCTTGAAGTATAATCCATCGGCGACCCTGGCTATCGTTCCGTCTCACTCCCACATCGGTTGCCGTCTGCCAACATTTTTAACCGTATAATGTGCGTGTATCCATGTTTCATCTAAATAGATGACAGGCCTTTTGTTTACACCGTAAACAAAAGGCCTGTCATAGGCGTGTAGTGACTCGTTCTCCTTCATGCGGCGTAAATATCTAGCCCTCCACGCTTGTATTTGGGGTCTCTCTATTAGTAGCAGCCTTTTTTTGGTAACATCTTTTAAATTGATACCCTAAATCTATTTTTATTATTTTTCTTAAGGTAGTTTCACTGTCTGTATAATTAAGATCTACTTTTGCAGCAGCCATAATTTTACGCATTGTTGGTATTGTCTTCCAGACCGTATACATAGTGTGAATGATATTTCTAAGAGCCGTTAACGAAAATCCGTCAAAGTAATCTTTTCTTTGTCATTTTACTTTGGTCGGGGTCTTCATTTTGCTGCCACTAGTTGTAGCAGACTCGTGCTCTCGTCTTAATTTCGTTACTGTATTTTTTGTTATGCCCGTAGCACATACCACACGTTCCGTAACTTTAGTAGAATTTTGTAAAATATTCAAAATGTCAATAACAAGTTGTTTCGACATTACCATGTCCTCAGTAGTGTCCGAAGCATTTTTTAGGGCACGGTTTACATTTTGAAGCACTAACTTAGCGTCCTCTTTCTCTTTAGCAAAATAATTGTCTACTTTAATAATCATTTCCCGCGCACTGCTTAATTACTTTTTTACTCATTTTAATAGAGTAGCTATGAAAACAATACGTAATAAAACAACTTAACAACAAAACTCAACAACAAAGATCAATAACAAAAATAAAAAAAGGAAAGAAACCAAAAAGCTTTCAAAACACGGTAAGTAGTACTCGATGCGTAGTGCGAGCGCGGGCTGACCTTGCATTGCGAAGCTGCGAACGGTACTGACGGCTCGACTTCGCATACGTCACGAAGATGGCCGCCAATCCCAATATCAACGTGCGGCTTATAAACGCTGTGTGACACGTTACCTACAGATTGTTTATTTTTTTGCAAATTTGTTGTTCTGTTTTACCCCGTATTTATTATACTTCGGTATTGTATTCAGGTCAATGGATGGGCACATACCACTCCTAAACGACTCCAGGCGTGCTTATGCAGAAATCACCCATGTTATTTTCAATATTGCTAACATAATTGCACACAGTTGCTTGTAAGTATACATGTAAATTTTTATGTACTTCTTTAGTGAAAAACAATTTTTCTTTTTTATGTATTTCCTATTTCATTTATTTCAGTCGCCCGGTCTACGAGAATATCTATCAGGAAATTGTAAATAATACCCTACCTGAGGCTTTAGGGCAGCCACAGGAAGTAGTTGAAACTGCAAAAGAATTGTTTACTGCTTTGGATGATAAAACACTAAAAGTAAGTACATTTTGGTTAGACGTGCTCGGTTTCAAAAAGAGAGGTAGGAGAAAGAAAGATAATGGTGGGTAAGGCATATTGTTTATACGAATGATAGCATCCCGATTCGATTTTCAAATTCCCAGAAACGGAAAATAGCGGCCAAATAAAATCCAAAGCAAGTTTTAACTATTTGAACAAAAGTTATACAATTTTCATTACACACTTTTGAAAACCTTTATTTTTCAGATTCAAAAGTTGATAATTGAAATTACTAAAGCAGAAAGTAACGATGTTGTTGCCGATGCATTAATTAACAAAATCATAACTAATGACCCAAAGGAATATAAGTTAGAGGCTGAAGTATTATTAGCTGCTGGTGCATCTGCCAAAAAATTCAATGAAATGAAGGACACATTTCATGACGTACCAACATCATTGGAATCACATAAATACATCATAAGAGCTACACAGGAGCTGAAAGCACTTATCTTATCACTGACTTCTGCTATTCATCTGATAAAACGGACTTTATTAAATGCTAAAAATGTCACATTTCACAAGAGTTTCTTCAAAGAAAATGAAATTTTTGAAAAAATAATATTATGCATATATTGAATAGTTTCATTTTTTATTTACCACTAGACTTTTCTTAATGCTATAGGGCGCAAATGAGCAGATGGGTAATTTGATAGTAAGTGACTACCACCAAAACTCATAAGAGCGTCACTACCCTTTTGGGTGCCCCCCCCCCCCCCTCCCCATCCATCCAGAGGCCTCCGATAACCTCTTTCATTATTTTGACTTACTTATAGCCGAGGGAGTACTATACTTCGACACGAGTGGGCCAATAATTATCCCCTCATCCAACAGTTAGGGGGGGGGGAGGGGGAAGGGGTCACACAGCGGGTACGCACTTTTAGTCTTGGGTGACAGGTGTCCATGGGCGTTGGTTACTTATATGCTACTTATATGTATGACGTAGTCTGGAGCCGAACTGCTGAGTCTCTTCACTCTGGCTAATGGTAAATTGGTAATTTGCACACTGGGCCACCTCACAATAGTTACAGGTTAATGGTAATTCAAATGGTACACTAAGCCACTTTATGGTTAATGGTTTATGGCGGTATAATTGCGGCAACATACTCTCAAGATGCCGTGATACAATCTTTGCCAAATGTCTGCCTATGGCCGTCAGAACAAAAGAAATTAACGTATAGAGATTATAATGTATTATGAAATAGGCGTATTTCATAAAATGTTAACAGATATTTTGAATTTGTAAATTCTAAGATCTGCCCATGACATATATTTCATAATTTTTAGTTAAGAAAAATATATGAATGATTATTATTTTTATCAGCAAATGTATAAAACTGCGGCTTATTTAATGACGAAAAGAAAATAGGAAGTAAGTAGATTGAGAATATTTTAGTTGCTTAAAAATCAAACGAACAATGTTCAAAACACTATGCAAGCAATAATATTTTTATATTTAACAATAGATGATAAAACTATTGGATAAGTAATACTCACAAAACATTTTCTTGAATTGCTTTTACGACCGCGATAATTTCTCTATGAGTTGCGAGGTAGGAAGGCGGTGGTCTAAGAGCGCAGATGCCTCCATGAATCACCGAAACAATGACCAAAAGTATGAAAATGGACATTATTGCTGTTAAAAAATACGAAATATTAATAGCGACACATTAAAACATATACATGCCATTACAGGTCCGTATGGTGACGGATTAAGAATACAGAGTGTCACCACCCCTATTCATCCCGTGGGTGTCGTAAGAGCCAACTAAGGGAAAAAACTAAGCAGGACAACAGCACTGCAGAGAGAAGGAAAACTTGACACAAACCCTTTACCAACCCGTCTGGCCAGCGTGGTATAATAGGCCAAAACCTCCTTTCTAAGGAGAGATAGGCCAGTAGTGGACTATGAAGTAGACTATGTTGATGAATATAATATTTTTATGATAGATATAGATATAGTGGACTATTAAAGGCTGTTGATGATGATGCCATTACAGCCACACACTACAATGTCATCTAGCGAAGACGAATCGATCGACGCGCTGAACATGCAATACATGAAATTAGTATCTATTAGTAAATTAGTCATTACTGATTAGTATTTAACATATTCGGATGATAATTTTTTGAATTTTCCTTCTATACATAGTTTGTAAAGAACGCGACAGTCATTTAGAACAGTTCAATCTCTCACAATCTTTGAGGATCCTGTGTCCTTTAACCTAAATTTTTATGCTCTTTGGGCGATTCTGCAATAGGTATTTTAGAAATCAAACATAGCTTACTTAGGAGCCGTAATGTTTTTGTGTCCGCCGTGCTTCTCTGTTTAACAGGGTGTATAGGTACCTATTTTGCTTTATTTTTATTTCCCGCTTTGCTGAGGGGGGACGTTTTTTTATTATATTCATAACTCCTCCAATTAACTTCCGTGTTTTTTTTAATATATCCTAGTAGCATGCACATGCTCAGTATTTAATAAAATTATAATTTAAGATAAATTAAGGGTCACTTTACTTGCATTCGACACGCCTGGCCTTTTAAACCAATATTTTTTAGCTAAATTAAAGTGACAATTATTGCATTGGTATAATAGGTATTGCAGAATTAATAGGTTTTCAAGGAAAGGTGGGCTCATATTTTAGTGATGAGTAAGTAGCCCTTAGGTCCGTGTGGTAACGGTCCCCCTCACCATATTCGCGATGACGCCGCTAATTGAATTTATTAAAATTTATTTAAAATAATACAAATCAAAGAAAAAATTACATGTGTCTCTTAATACGTAGTAATGTCGAAAATAATTAAATTATAAAATTAAAGGTTTTTTATACACAAATAGTATAATTTGTTAATGAACGTGAAATCACGTATTATTTATATAATTAGTTCTGCTTTAATTATGATAACTGTGTCTAATGGGTGATTAGCTTTGCACCAAATGCATAGATTTTATAAATACACTCGCTGACTCGCGCAACTTTTCTCGTTTTGCAACAATTATAATTGTTGCTTGGCTCCTATTGGTCGTATGGTGATATTATATATCATTAAAACTTTATTTAATTATCATGATCGGACAAAGACTATAAAAAATTACAACGAAACAGAGATAGTGACGATCAAACAACTATACACCTACAACAGTTACATTTTTATACGCAAAGCAATTAACAAAAATGTTCATATCAACTTAGAATTTAACAAAGGAAAAAAGGGTTGCTAACCCCGGGATTCGCACGCGCAGCGCTGGCTATCTCGCTCTGCCAAGAATTTGTACGAACTACGGTAAAACGCTGATTACAACAAGATACCCACAACTATAAAAAATGACAGCTCCTTCAAAACCTTTAAAAGAAAGCTTGCTTAATTTATAATTAAAAACTAATCTTTATTATAATATTATATAATGTGTAAGCATGGTTAGCATTAACTGTAATAAGTGTAACTATTGTTCTGATTGTGGATGTGTTGAATGGGCACCTGCACTTCATAACGTATGTACTACCGTTAACTATTTGTTATGTTGTTGTCTTTGTGAATTTATTAACCATTTGTTATGTTTATCCTTGTGCCGATGAACACTATTAATATTTTGAATGGACATGTTCTCATGGAAGTGATGTAAATCTTATTATATGTGAATAAATATTTTTAAACCTTATACAACTCTAAAATATTTTTTTCTTACATTCCTGCATTCAACCAAACAAACAAACTCTTTTGCTTCATAATGTTAGTATAGATGTATAATAACGTATCTGACATTCGAATTACACAGAACAAAAGCTCTGAATAAAAGATAATACTTACTGTCACCCCTTTTTGAGAAAAGTGCCATCTAGTGTTAACTAATGTAACAAAATCTTACATTAACAGTCTGTATTTCTGTTACATTTAAACTTTGCAACGAAGAGGGCAGTGTTATGCAATTTATTTATTTAAATAGTACATTTTTATCCTACAAGCACAGCCATCAATCAATGCCTTCAGTTTATATTTTATCTATGTTTATAGCGTTACAGAAAACAGAACACGTTGTGTAAAACAATTCCTTGCTCTCTGAATTATAGTATATTCAAAAAACGAGAAAAAGTGTTAAAGAAAATAAATAGTTCCAACCAACATTATCGTATGTTTCTATAGCACGAAAGACAACACAAAATAATAAAACCCAACACACACAAAAACACTTTTTACAACACTTTGTGTGGTCCACAAATTGTTGTACCTACAGTACCTCTCATTAAGCTGTGCTAAGTAGGAAGTTTTTAGAAGAATATTGATGACACTGGGAATTTGATATATCAAATAAAACTTCTTGGATTACATTGGTTATTAATATCACTGGCGTATATCTGGTCTATTAACAATATAATAACACTACACACGCTAAGTTCCCTAGAGCATTTTCCAAGTATACTCCGTGTATTGCTTCAGCTAGAATTAAATTAAAACAATATTAGTTCTTCTAGGAACCGTGGTACACTGCAAATTAATTGGTTAGGAAGGCTACCAGATAGCCTCCCTTATATTGAATGAGACATAATTCATACGGGTTCCAACACAAATAAAACGTGTTCTAGGAATTTACACTTTACTATGCCTACTTATAAAGGATATTGTATTTAAATTATGCAATAATTTCTAGTTTGTTCTATATAACTGAATAATATAAAATATAACTTAACACATCTTTCACACAGCCGTCTGATTCTTGTAAATTCATTTTTATTTCCACATCAATTCGATGCTCGAAGAAGAAGAAAGCTCGGTGTGCTGAACAGATCGAGGCAGTATTTCACTCCGGCCCACCGCCTTCAGCCCTGTAAGGCGCAAGTCCGGCCGCATATGAAATACTGTTCTCATCTCTATGCAGGAGCATCTCAGTACCAGCTTCTCCCTCTGGACCGCATCCAACGAAGAGCGACTCGAATCGTTGATAGCCCAAACATCTCCGATCGGCTCGATCTCTTGGCGTTACATCGAGATGTGACTTCACTCTGCATTCTCTTTCGCATATATCATCGAGAGTGCTCCGAGGAATTGTTCGGACTAATACCAGCCGCAACTTTCCGCCATCGTTCTATACTACAAAATTTTCATCCTTAGTACCTGGATAGTTGGCGCTCCACTACTGTGCGCACATTTTGCCCCCCACACAACCAATCTGTGAAACGGGTTATCGTCTGCAGTATTTTCGCACCAAAAAATGAGTGTACTCCTTCCTAAAAGGCCGGCAACGCGTTTGTGACTCCTGAGTTGCAGACGTTCATGGGCGGCAGTGGTCAATTTCCAAAAATCTAACACAGGGCTGTCTGATACATATTATTGGTGAACTGCATCCATACTTAGTACAAATGATCCTGTGCTTACCTCATGGTTAGCAGTCAGGATCTCTAAGCCACTAGACACACATGCCAGTAGGCTGGAGATATTTTTAAAACTGTTGTAAACATTTTCTTTCCTTTCATACGTACTGATTAAAAATATATGTAATTATAAAAAATATTTGTGCAAAGAATATAAGCGCGCTGGCAAATACCCTGATACGGTCGTGTTGCAGTGTCCATAAATTTTTA